CGGTATCGAAAGACCGACGCCTACAATAGCTGGCCTTGATAAGGGCACAAATTCCTCGGATAAGGCCCTTATGGTGGGTATTCGGGCTAAAAGGAGAACAATGCAGTATATAAGAGATTAAAATTGGGTTTTTTATTTGTGATAAGTGATTCTGGTCTTTAGCCATGACTTTCATCCATTTGTGAACTAAAATATACGCCTGTAGTCATAAAGATAAAAGGGTCGTCCGTACTGTGCGGGAGCATCAGTCCCTGGTCTAAATTGAAGGGCATTAAAGACATCACTTGATCCACTATTCATTGTACTGAGCACCTCCATTCTCACAAATAATTTGAACGCTTTTTATCTTCAGCTTTTATTCGTAATTTACATTTATATGCATTAGAAATCGTATTCAATTGTTTTCATCTCTACAATTATTATGGTGCTGTTTAGCAAAAAAAGTGTAATCGTACTCAGCACTTTCCATTATTGGTGAACACGAAACTCATTTAAATGTGATTTAGTAGTACATACATTAATACATGAGAGACACGGCTCATACCAAGAAGAAAAGTTTCCCGGTTCCAAGGTCAGCTCAGATTCGGTAACGAGGGTAATGGATTTGCCCTGCTGACCGAGTCGTCCGGTACGTCCAATGCGATGTACATAATCAGGAAGGCTTGTTGGTAGTCCTACATTGATGACCAAGTCCACTGAGGGAAAGTCAAGTCCGCGAGAAGCAACCTTTGATTCAAGAAATTTCATACGATTCAATTATGAAGTAAAGGCAATAGGATAAATACGTCTGCAGAATGGTGTACAGCTATTGATCGTAAATATATTCTACAGTAATACATATTTATATATGCATATCCCTCTTTCTTACACAGGTTTGACTAAGGTCTGAAGCTGCAACAGCAAGGGACAGTCGGCGCTGAAGCCTGACACAAGCCAGAAGTTCGTCGGCGAGTGTTTTTGATTTCATTATTGAGTTTAAACAGGGAAACTAAACAAATTGTGAAGAAACTCGTCTCAATCTATATTCTGAACAGTAATCTTAACTAAAAGTCAAGAATTCCATATTTGATGGTTGAGAAAGACAGACTACAGATGAGAGCTATTCTAATAGGTAATAATTAGCAGTTAAAATTGAGCTACTTGCAGTCGTAATTTCACATACCTTTTCAGCTGCAAAGACTACCTTCATGAGTAGTACACGATTTAGCTAGCCAGGACGAATAATTTACCTTTTAATCAACGTATAGTCGTCTAAGAATAAAATATAGAGCCCTTACGGAAGTTCCGACAAGGACATTGATAGAGCCGGATCGGAATCCATTAACGGTTTTGTTACGGTGCATTTGCGATTTGTCACTATGTATTGCCGCTGCTGCAACTCCAGCTCGGTAGAGATAGCTTTCGACCCAGTCGACATCTCGTTTGGTATTGCAGAATACTATGATGCGAAGAATGCCTTTAAAAAAGACGACAAACACAAGCTTCTAATTACCAGTAGTATAAAAAATATAGCATGCAATCAAAATATGGTAAATCAAGAGTGCCTACATCTTGTAAACAACATAAACGAAGTGATTCAATCTATTCAGACAAGAATATTCAACGTACCTTTATTTTTCAGATTTCCCTGATATAGATCTACGATGCGCTTAAGAAGGATTTGCCTCTCCACGCGAGGCCTTCTGTCGTAATTCGCCATATTTCCAGTAGGCTGAAAGTCAAAACTGTCCAACGTGCTATCTGCGGGTGCATTATTCTTAGCGCGGATTAATTCAACTGACTGAATAATCTCAACCGGTATTCGTGCTTCAAGCGCACGCAACTCCTGCAAGGGACTTGTACGGGCTGATGTGCCTCCCCAGCGAGGAACTTGAATAATATTGTTCGATGATTCGGAGGAAATACTGAGAGACAAGCAAACGGGTCCCCGTAAAAGATTGGTGGCTAGACGTACCACTTCTTGAGGAAAGGTAGCACTGAAGAGAGAGGTCTGACGTTCATGATCTCGGGCCTGTGGCATACCGTATCGCGTCGACAGAAGGCGACGTATCTGCGGCTCAAAGCCCATGTCCAGCATTCTATCGGCCTCGTCGATCACCAGGGTTCTAAAAACGATACAAAATTTTTAAAAATCTAAATGAGATGCGTTCGTTCATAAGAACTGAATGCTTCCAAAAAGGTGGAAATGTTTGTAAACATAGTAGTCTAGTCTAGTCAAAGCAAATGAACAAATAATTTTAAAAACAAGCTATTTATTAAAAATGTAGATATATATAAAGATCATAAGAAACAATAAATATGCATTGCATTAGCGTTCGTTTCTCATTGAAAGCATCGTCAATCACAAATCCGAGTAAGAAATAAATGGGAAAGCATGTAATAGCATCTCTTGGATTAGTTATGAAGGGCTTGATGCAATTCT